TTTTTTTTTTCAATTTTAGGTGTCTCGTTTCTCGAACACTCTTGGGAGCCAGCTCTACACATGTGGCTTGTTTACTTCGAGCGACCTCTTCTACAATTTTGAGTTCGACGTAGAGTTCCGCAACTCTAAAAAGTTCCACTCGTTAGGCGGCTGCGGCTGCGTTGGGGCTGACGCGACGTGGGGTGGCCAAATGGGAAGTTGATGGCCGCGGGCGATTGTGCAAACGCAGATCACGTGCAGGCGCGGGCTGCGGGTGGGGGGTGCCGGGGGTGGGGGCGGCGCGTGAAAAGGCGTGGGGCGCGTGGGGCGCGCACGCCGCGTCTGCGCTGCGCTGCGTGTGTGTGTGTGTGTGTCTGTCGGTCGCGCGCCATGGAGCTGACCGGTCGCCCGCGCGGAGCGCCGCCGCTGCCCGCCCTCGCCCTCGCCATCGCCCTCGGCTTCGCCCTCGCCGCCCCCGCGGACGCCGCCATCAAGCTCCGTAAGTCACTGCACCCCTGGTGGAAATATCGGGGCTGCGCCCAGCTGGCGGTGCTGGTCTAGTGCGGTATTTCGGTGCGGGGTGTGGGGTGGGCGGTCTCTCCACAGCGACACCTTTCTTGGGCTATCAAATTTTTCAAAAAAATGTACAATTTCATTGTTTTATTTACAATAACACTCGTGATAATTCTACTGGCAATGTTTTATCGTTGTTTAATTAAATTTGTTCTTACTTTTCAGCTATTTTGGTGGTAATGGGTGATATTTCCTTAAACTAAAATACTTTTTGAACATAAATGTTTTAACTTCGTCAGTCATTGAGAGATTTACTGCCTTAAAATTTCAAAAAAACAAACAAAACATTCATGTTAAAAGACAAAACCAATCCATTTTTTTTCATTTTATAATTGAACTTTTTAAAAAGGTATACTGAACAATCCACGGTACGAAGTATTATAAATTTTTTAAACAGCATAAATACACGTAAAATTTGTGTGTCTACTAATTTTTAATTGAATATTTTACTGAAGTGGGGAGGGGCCACACCGTCCATACTCCCTCGAATTACACTAACTCTATCTACGCCAGGGTATCCAGCATAATACTTAAGACATTACATCATTTTTAAATAACGTTCCAAATCTAGTTATTAAACAATTTCGGTTCCAATGTTTGGTTCTAAAGGATTTTCTCATCTTTTGATTAAAATGAAATTATGTTGCAGCTAATATTCTTTAACGCATCCAGAATATGTCTGAAAATTCAATGTAACTTTCTGATTTACTACTTTGAATCAAATATTAGTAAACTGCTTGACTAAGACTTGTTCAGTTTTAAAAAACGTTACTGGGCATACATTTTAAGGGTAAAAAATAATTATTTTTTCTGACTGCGGTATCGGATAGAAAGAAAGGAAATAGAGTATTTATTACTGACACTTCAAAAATTCCATAATCTCAGGCATCAGTTGTTTGCTCCATTTCGTGATTCTTTATTGAAGAAATGTATCATCACTTCTCGACACGTAAATACATTGTATCAAGAAGCACTATCATTTGAACACCTTTTACAAACTGCAACACGTCTAAAGAAATTAATGTTATAAAAAATGTAGTCGTTTCAATTACTTTTCATTATTAGAATTTTTAACGACTTTTGTTTTGGTTTAGGATGGGTACCTTGTCTGTACCTGAAAGAAGTGTGCTACAATTTTCGGTTCAGATAACAAAGTAGATACAAAGGGAAGTTGCTCAGTTACTACTGAAAGTTGCTCTGAGGAAAGTGATTCAGTTACTCAAGCTCTCTTAATCGTACCATCGAAACGTATTTCTGCAATTTTACATGGGAGGTACATTTGACACCACGAATTAAGTATTTTATTGCATAATCGGAAAACTGAATTCTATGTTTCTGCTTCAACTTGACTTGAACAATTTTAATCAAATTTAATTAATTTAATTTAAAAAGAAGACTCCTTTTGACTTACCCTCACGATTCTCCATATTTATTTATTCAAATATAACTGTATTTGGACGAAAAAGAAAGTAACTACTATATTTCCAAAAATAAATGTTTTTTGTAAATATTGAAAAAAGAACCTGACAAAGTAATAACCCCCCCAAGTGGACCATACCAAAACCGGGATATTCGTCACTGTTCACAGTCGTTTCAATCCTCTTCGGTATTTTTTGGCGGCCTCTCCAAACGTACCTTAAGTTCCTCCAAGGGTGGAGTGGTGACCATTGACTCACAGTGTTGATTCTCGTATAATGTAATAAGAACTACGTCGCACCGTGAACATTACACAAGTACAGTCGGCAGTAGAAGGGCTTCACATTTCACAGGAAGAGTAGATTCACGTTTCACGAGAAGCTTCGATTGATTGACTATTAGTTCTTTTTTTTATAGAGCGTGTCAACGGATAAGGTAGTTAGTCCCGTACGTGTAGTGTATGCTTCATCGCTGGAGGAAGCGGGGATCTTCCCCCGCTGGAAGTTAAAACCGGTGCCGACCTACACGTCGGCATGCGGGGAGTTCTCTAATTAGGTATCGCTCACCAGCGGCGCACCGCCCCAGCCGGGACAAGCTCTTAGCTTCCGACACGCCTCCCGACAAGTTTGATAGGTGAGGAGAAGTGGGGTTAGGACAAGGATGAGGAAGGAAAAATCGCGCGCAATCCAAGGCTCGATTATTAGGGTACTGCTGCGGTATTCGCCTAGGGTTGATCCGAGAAACTGTGGAAAACTACGGATCAGAGCTGTTGACCGCTAGAATTCTCCTCCAGACAGCGGCTGAATTCGACCAAGCTATGTAGCTAGTATCAAAAATCCTGCCACCGCACCGTCGAGACTAGAATCCTAGAACCCCACGCTTTGAGGCATTGCAGTCATCAATTGTCGCTCTAAGCCACACCTACGCCGGTATGAAACAACGATTTCCTAACCTTATGGATAATCAATTGTGGACAAAAATGCTCAGTACCGGTGAAACATTTTTTTCTGTCGCTGTCGGGAGTAAAAGGGCGTATTGAAACAAGGACTCACTGCGACTGGTTGATTATTATGAATGTGTGCTAGCTGTCTGAGTTCCTCGTCTCTGGAACGAGCGATACAGAGCCGAACATTTCCGATTGTGGGTTTTCCCCTTCCTGGTATCTACGCCAGAGGCACTCCAACCAGCCGGAGCAAACTATAAGCTCCCCACGTAAACCCGGGGGGGGGGATGGAGAATGAGGAAAGAAAGACAGCGCGCGCTCCAAGGCCTGTTTATTAAGATATTGCTCCTGTATTTGCGTGGTAAGTTTTGGTAAAACACTGTAAACTGCTAATAAAATTACCCAGCCGCTGTAATTCTACTCCTGACAGCGACTAAATTCGCTGTAGATATAAAGACCTCGGGGCAATAACAGGCTATGCCAAAATATGTGAGTTTTGAGAAAACGGAGAGTGAAGGTTTACTCATTACAGTCTACACATTGCAATAAATAACATCAATTTACGAATTACACTGCCATCTTGTGGCGAATCTTAAAACAAAAACTCAACGTCTAGATACATCTAGAGGGAATCAAAAACACTAATATTTTAATTTCATCAGAAATGTGGCATAGCATGGTATTCATTTCTACCCAAATAAATAAATTCCTCCATCATTTGGATTGGAGTGTTGGAACCTCCCGGTCAGAGACAAAACAGAGGCTGCAGCTGTTGCCTGGAGCCATCTGGGCCGGTTGCTACCGCGAACAAATGCAGGCTGTAACGGAAGCACACAGATGGAGAATGAAGCAATTCTTAGCGAAGCTCGTCTGCGCCTGATAAAAACAACCTCGTCGTGTTACAGATATTCACTTCGGACCGACCAGTCGGCAGATCACCCTCGAACTCACTTTTCTACCAAAGCTTTTTGTCTCCTAAAAGCTGTCAGGCCCGCGGCCGTTCGCTTACTTAATGAGTTGAAAGGTTTCACTACCAGGTTTGCCTACTTCTTGGCAAACCTTGTTCACCTGTTGCTTCACTGCCAACTTAAGCATGTGAAAAGAATAGAGAATATGAATAAACTTTCGCATATGAAAAATTAGAGGAGATTTTCTTTGTTACATTTCATTTTTTGAGTGTCTGTTCCAAATAGGTTTTTGGGCAATGGGTTCTCGTAATATTCATATACGAGGTAATTTTGTATAAAAGTTTACGGGTATGAAGTCTATCGTAATACTTAAACATGCAAACAAATATTTATGGAGTTTTATTATATTGAATATACAAGTGAGACTTTTGTATACTTTTTGCACACTATTGTATACTTTTCATTCACCGGCTGAGGTGGCCCAGAGCATCAACTGCTGTCCCTTTAGTGCCTCTGACCGGGAGGTTCTAGGGTTCCAGATCCGACGGTGGAATAATATTCCACACTAGCTTCTCAGCTAGGTCCGATTCAGTCGCTGTCTGGATGAGAATTCTGGCAGCTGGCTGCTCTGATCGGCAGATTACCTCCGATCAATACCAGGCGAATACCGGAGCTGTACCCTAAGAAACAGGCCACGACATCTTCCTATCTTTATCCTCATCCTGTTTATAGACACACACGCACTGCACTACCACCCAGTCAGGATCTTAGAGTTTGTTCTAGCTGGGGCGGTGTCGAGCTGGTAAGAGATATCTGGATGAGGAAAACCCCGCAAGTCGACGTTCGGGTCGGCGTCAGATCTCACCATCCAGCGAAGCCACGTCCATTCAACATTCACTACAGTTACGGGACTAATGACCACAGCAGTTGACGCACCGAGAAACACGAAATAATCTATCAAAGTTATTTATATGTCAAAACAAATACAAACAATTCAAGTTTTTAGATTATTGTGTTGACTTTCTTTCGTCTGTTTGACATAAAAGGATGCTGTAACATCGATAAATGCGATTGATAACAGATGGGCGGAGATACTGTGATAGGAACTGCAAAGCTCGTCGTAGGGAAGCCCGAAAAAAATGTTATTTTTACGATACCCACCTACATTAAACCATAATTGAGCACAAGATATCGATATATCGTCATTTAAACAACAACGCTTCAAAAATTATATCAGTAAACATATTTCTTCAGAAACTAATTTATATAGGGGAAATACAGGGAATTATTCATTATCGCTTTTGAAATCCTATTGTTTTCCTTTTGACGCTCAGTATAGACTAATTGTACAGAAATAGTGATGCAGCAAAAAATAAGTTATTTGGCACTTATAATTATGTAGAATAGAAGTTAATCGTTTAATGTCATCGGGCGATGTGTTGTAAAATGGTGTGCATGAATTAAAAGTGATTTTTTTTGTAGTGAGCTATTGATACTGATACCTGGTGTAGTGATTACTACAACACTATGTTGCCACCGAGTTATACTATTTATATTAGGGCTCCTCGTATTAATTAATTAAAGACGTTTCGCCTGAACATTCGCTCTTGTACGAGATTACGGCAGAGAGACGTTGGGGTTTTCTGAATTTAATGGCAC